ACTCCAGTGAACTTGGGTGAAAAAATGCCTCATCTTCTTCCACATGGATCAATTCATTCAGATAATTTCAGAAAAAAGCTTTCCACCATTATATCAAAGGGGCCTTGTGATAACTTCCATAGCTAAAATTCATAGCAAAACACTAGAAATGTCATTTTTATACTTACTTTTTTCTGTGTATTTGAGATTCTATGATTGAAACTTTACAATCCAATGAGAAGCTGGAGAAGGAAAATGTGCAGTTTTTCTTCTGAAAAGAACTCAAGGTTCACTGTTACAGGATACTGTGTCAGGTACTGAAGACAGCTGAAAGAGATTCCTGCTTCTTTTCTCTCCATGCCTTAGCCATTCATTCTAGCTATGCTTTGTGTGTTACCAGTAAAGTTAGTATGGCTATTTGCACTGTCAACTAGATCCGTGGATTAAAAAAAAATAAAAAAATAAAACAAAGAGAAAATAAAAAGAAATATGCTGAAAAAAAAAAAATAAACGTTCAGATCAGAGCCCAAAAGATGCATTTGCACAAATGGGAAAATGGCAAATAAGTATGCTGGCACAGGCATCAGTACAAGAAGGAGTCTCTTCAGATGGTGTAACAAACACTAGCATCTCTTCAAATTATGTCTGCCAGTATGGCTATAAGTATAATGAGAGGGGAAACACTCTTTCAAAAATTACAAAAATCACACAATCAAAGATGTAAAGATAAGAGTGACATTCTGTTCACAGGGTGAAAAATAGACAGTGCAGCCTTATTCATAAAACCAAAAGGAAATCCACATAGTACATGAATAAGGCAGTATCAGTCCAATTATCAGTGATCAGGAAAAGCCTAGACACACACTATTCCTAGATCCAGACATAAATGCTACTGCTTTACTACCAACAGGCAAGAAATAAAGGATCACTCCCTTTGATTCCTTACACGAATCACTGAGCTTCTGATACTGAGCTCAGAGAAAAATGGAGGCTTGGGCTGGAACACACCCTGACAGAGGCAAATACCCATCCCAATTTCCTTCAGTTCACTCTTTTCAGCTGCCTCAGCTTCTTTATCCCAATACTTTTACCTGTCCTGCCTCTCATGTCCTCTTCAGGAAGATAAGGAAGCCATCAGGACAAAAGGCTTTCTTCCTTGGCATTCCCACAAAGTTTACTAAAGTGTGCTGTCAATTATCATGTTCACTCCCATAGTGACCAACAAGAAGTGGGAAGGCTAATAAGAAGTCATGCTTTGCTGTGGACTGCACAGAGTTAGGCGTACAGACCCTATAGTCTACACACACTGGGAACAGTGAGAGATATCCTAGTGAGGGGGGTGAGAAGTCTCAACGTATTGGCTGCTGAATGTAAAGAAAAAGTGTCTAATGTACAAGTGAAAACTCTCACTCAAAATTTGGACCTACACAGGTGGCTTTTCATGAGAATAATAAAGTACTCTAAGGATGCTTCATATATGCTTCATGTCTTTCATAATGCTTCAAATGATAGGTATTTGTGAGGAAAAAAACTGCTAATAAAATTGATCATATGCATAGTGCTTTATTAAAAAACAAATAAATACCCCAGAAACTTAATTCTATTCAAAAGCATTTGAAGTTAAAGTACATAAAATCAGAGGCAAGCCTGAAGCATGGAAAACTGCAGATCAAAGAACTGTGCACCAGCAAATTGGATCATATGGTGGCTGGTGTCAAGTGACCTAGCTGCACTGTTTATAAAAACGAGTGAAAACAGTTATGCTTGAAACTAAGAAAATCTAAATACTCCTTCCAAAACTATCCATCTTTCTAAGGCAACCTCTAAACAACCCCCTGACACAACCTCCACTCTTTGAAGGTTTTCTTTCTTTCATCTATTATGGCTCAGACTCTCCCTCTCCAAAGGCTGATGAACATATATTCCCAGTTTATTCTTAAAATAGTCTGTGTTCTGGAATGTCTTCAGGGGCCAGCACATCTGCTTGCAGGACTTCTTCCTGGAAGACGCTGAACTGCCACTTTCTTTGAATTTATATATCCTACGTGGTTTCCTCCTTAATTATGACCCTGGGGTGCCTAACACATCTCTGGAGCACTGATCTGTGAAACATACAGGAGTGTTAGAAAGCTGACATGAAGCACAGCACAGTAAAGAGGCTGCCAGAGCTGGTGAACCAGAGGGATTTTTTTATCTAGAAAGGAAAGAATAATTTCAGGACTAGGTAGGCAAAACGGCAAAACAAGAGGCAATTAGATCAAATAGGAGGGAAATGAGAACAGCCACTGGGTCAGATTCTGGATTGCTATCGTATGGGATTAACATAGAGGAGGGATTCTGGGATTAGTATCAATAAGTAAAGGACAAGAGAGAGACCCGTGGAATTTGCATTTTGAGCAGTCAGACAGATACTGAGTTTTGTCATAGGAGAGCAGTAAGAAGGGAGTGGAGGGGTGTGTATGTCCAGAAACAAGAGGCACAGGTGTAACAATAGAAATGGAGCAAATCAGTGCCCTTGCCAAGAGGAGATAAAAAATTTCCCTGTGGTGTGTACAGACAGACAAGCTTTCTGGTCTCCCACAGAGTTCAGAAGCAAGCCCAGCTACCAGCTACATACAGTCCACATACAGCAGGTACGCTGAATAAAACCCATGCTGCTGCCAGTCCCCTCAGTGGTCTCTCCACTCCCCTGGTATCTAGCACACTTACTGCAGTCTGGAGTTCATATTGAAACATATTCAAATGCTTCACAACACAGCCAATGTCCAAATGCCCTCACACTAGCTATAATTGCCATCTAACACAGTGGCCTCAGCAAAGAGGACTATAATCACAAAAAAGAAATGCCTCTGGGGTCTACAGCCCTCCTTTTCGAGAGGCTATTTTTATGTAGAGTACAATTTTCACAACATTTTTTTTAGGCTATGCAATATGATGCAGCTTTACGAAAAGATACTTGGGGACAATGATGTATTTATCAAATCAACTCATTTCTAGTGGCTTTGGCGCCTGTGCATAAAACACTCTAAAGTGAGACCAGTTTGAAGTAAGTACATGACAGTATGGTTTTTTTCTTTGTAGTATGCATCTTTTATCCATCATCTATAGCAAAATATATGGCAATCAAAACAACAGTAAAATTATCTGAGAAAAGACCAGAAAAGAGATTTTTAATTTACCTTCTTCAGAAAAATAAACTGGGGTTGCATAAGGCTGAGATTTGGTGACTCATTGATTGCTACTTACTTTTCTAAGGTATTCATGATTCACTATTCTATAAGGATATTCATGATTAAGCATACTTTAAACCCTCCAGATAGAGGATGAGAGCTGACTTGTGTAATTATCATTGAACCAATGAATAAGGAGGGCTAATTGCCGCAGGATATTTAATGTCATATTCAAGGAATGTGTATTTATGAATACTAGCAACAAGGTGTAACTGCCTGGTCCTAACAGCTACAATCCATACAAGGGTCTGCTGAATCCAATGGGAGCGTTGACTGCAGTTTCAATAGAAGAACAATTTGCTCAACAGTAACCCACCATCTGTAAAATCCTAAGGAAGGCAAGCCATGAGGTCTTAAATCTACAAACAGAACTAAACAGTACATTGGAATATGCTGAGGAAATGATCATGCAAAATACTAACAGAGATAAGGCAATCAGTGGCAAATAAATTCTCAGAGACATCAAGCAAACAGGGAAGCAAAGCATGTATTTTCCTCTTTCCTACTCTTCAAAAACAATCAAAAGATGTGGGAAGATGTTAATCACCAGTAAAACACCCATGTGTAAGGGATAAATTAACGTACCTAAAGCAGAGAATCACCTGAAGTGGAAAACGTTTCTTTGGCTTTCTGTGTTTCACTATTTCTACTTTTCTAGGAAAACAGCTGCTTAAAGGTAGGGACATAGCCTTTGATAGAAGAAAAAAGGAACTGCATGTTATTCTATAACTTTCTGTAAAGCATTTAATTTCTCATACTTCAGTGAAAAAGAGAGTGACAGCTGCCCAACTTTTCATTAGTGCATTGCAACGGTACTTCTCACATTCAAATTCCTTCAAAACCTGCAACAGATCCTCAGTAGGTCCGTTGGACCAATTATTTTAACTTTCTAGGACAATGAAGTAGATCTACAGGTAGCCCAAAACTATTATGGTGGCTCAAATACTTAGACTGTTAAACAACAACCTTGGGCTGGCGTGGACATGAGTTTTCTCCTACCCCAGCCAGGCACCTGGCAGTGCCTGAGACAGATGCCAATGACAAGATGCATCTTCTCTAGGCCCAGAGGTGCTCTGCTTATGGAAGCAAGTTGCAGTGCTGTTGCACAGCAGTGGCAACACTGCATGGAGACCTAGATGAGGTCCTAGAGAAGCTCTGTCCTATCTGTCTGGGTCTGGACGACCGCTCTTCTGCCAAAGCAGCAGCCACCCACTTTTCCTTTTCAAGGTGGTGACCAGGGACAGACGGGCCGCATTAAATGACGACATGCAGTGTATGTGAAGTGCGGCCAGCAAACGGTGGCTGGTGGAGAGGCAGCGGTGGGGCTGTTCCCGTCCTGCCTGGCAGCCTGGCAATGTCTCCCGGGCCCGGCAGGCCAGGGCAGACCCGGCCTAACTGAGCAGCTGGGACTCTCCCACGGCTCCTCCTCGCCCCGGGCGCCCCGCGGGCGCAGGGCCCGGAGGCCGCCGGCGGTGCGGAACACGAGGCCTTGCCGCAGGCCTCGCACCTCGCCGCATCTGCCGCGGCCCCGCCGGCGGGGCGGCGGCCTCCGGGCACGGCGCGGAGGCAGGGACAGCGCTTGGGGGCGGCGGCTGACGAGACCAGCAGCAGCCCGGGGCCCAGGAGCGCGGAGAGCGAGGCAACCCGGCGCCGACACGGCTGCCATTTCCCCTGGCCTTCGGCGCTGCGGGAGCGAGGGCGGGGATAGGAGGCGGAGGAGAAGGAGGAGGGAGGGGAGAGGGAGGTGGCCGAGCCGGAGTGCACTGAGGCTCTGAGCTGCCAACACTCACACATCGCTTGCCGTCGCAGCCTCACGGCTCTCGGGTTCCGGAGAGAGGGAGCGAGTGGAGGCGAAGAAAAGCCAGACGCGGTAGAGAAGGCAGAAGACCGCTGGCAGAGGGAAGGAAGTCAGAGAGGAGGGAAACGTAGAGAGAGGGAGAAGGACCCCTCCTCCCCGCGGAGAGACGACTTCCCATGTAGCTAGGGGTAGAGGGAGAAGCTGGCGCTCAGGAACAGTGAGAGAAGGTCTCACAAGCAAGTTACTTAATCCCCGGAGAGCGGCGGGAAGAGGGCACAGCAGCAATCACTGATCAGAACCACTATTCCCAACCCCTCATCATTTAACCCCCGGGCGGTTCAATGCACTACTCCAAGCTCTTCCTAGTTTCTTCCTCGGGCTAACTTCGGAGGACGTACCGCCGGAGCGGCCCGGAGGGGAGGACAAGGGCCTCGGAAGAAGGAAGGAGAAGTTTTTTGAGGGTTGCGTGCTGAGGAGAAGATGGGCTGGAAGCGCCGCTGTTGCTGGGGAGGCGGAGGCGGCGGGGACCTTCTCTGCCGGCTCACCCTGGTGCTGGGGTTCCTGCTGCCCGCCTGCAGGACGCGCCTCTACACCAACCACTGGGCTGTGCGGATAACCGGGGGGCTCCCGGAGGCCAACAGGATAGCGAGCAAATACGGATACGTCAATATAGGACAGGTAACGCTACTCACAACTACTTACAAGCGGGCATTGGCGCTGCGGCCGGCCGGCGGGCTGGCAGGGTCCGCTGCCGCCGCCCTGCGCCTCCGGAGCGGGGACAACGACGAGGGCAAGGGACGGTCGGCCCCGCGGCCGCTGCCCGACTACGGCCCCGCCGCAGGCCCCGCCGCGGCCGCGGGGCGGTTAGCGGAGCCGCCCCGGCCTCCCGCCGCGGGCCGCGGGAGGTGATGCGCGGGGACAGGTATGCCGGAGAGCTTGGGGCCGTGGCCTTCCCCTTCTCTGCCAGGTGTGAAACGGGGCGCGGGCCAGCGAGCCGCCCGCGGGGCGGGAGGGGGAGGGCATCGCCGAGGGGCGTCCAGCCGCGGCTCTGCGCGCCGCTTCCCTGCGGCTGAACTTTGCGCTCCGCGGCGGGCAGCCTCCTGTGTCCCTTTTCCGAGCTGAAAAGCGCTGATACGAGAGCTCGTCCTGCAGCGAGCGCCGGTCTCCCCGGCAGCCAGGACGTGGCAGCCGCGGCCGCCGGCTCGCCGCGGAGGGCGTCCCGACCCCCGCTCTGGCGAGGCGTGCGGAAGGAGGAGGTGGCAGGGTGTCCCGGAGCGGCTGCCAGGCGTGCGGCTGCCTGCGGCGTTCTGTGGGCAAGGAGAGCGCACTGGTGGGGCCGGGGCCACACCTGGACTTGGCTAGATCCAGATACCAACCACATCAGGAAATTTTTGGATCCAGTCAGGTTCAGAAACTGCAAGTGAGTAGGCACCTGGTTCTCACTGGATCCCATCGCACTGAAAAATGCCCCCTTTACAGTTAGGCACAGGTCTCTTTAAAATGTCCTAATATCACGTTTTCTTAAGAAGTTTTACTCAGTGTTCTAGGCTTTCCTCGCAGTTGTTCTCAAAATACGAGTTGCATATGTAGGGTTTACAAGGTGAGTGCCTAAAAAATAAACAGTCTCCTGTTGCATGCTTGGGTGCAAACATCGAAGTACATTCTTTCTAGACAGTAGTTTATTCTACAAGAATTGAAAGGTTAGAAATGAGCATTTACAGGTACAAAAGGCTTCCTTTTAAACATGAGATTTACAAAAAACGCAGCTGTGTTTACACTCCAGGCTTTTCATATCAACCAAATCAAAGTAAGAACCGATTATTATTGTGTTTTAAAATGCGTTCCCACTTGCTACATGATTGAATCAAAAGTTTAAAGTACATCTCAATGTTCCCACTCGTTGCAAGCCTGAATAGGACATCTGTGCGGTCATTTAAGATAAATAATTTACATCAGAAAAGCTGGAAAATATCACTAGAGTAGCACAAAACATGATGTGTAAAGATGCAGTTACTTAGAAAAACAGTACCAACTTTTCTCTTGGAGTGCTTAACCAAGCAGGCAGTACTACTTCCAGACGGAGGCACTAATATTTGTGAGGAAGGTTGCATGTCAAAATTGAAATATTACTTGGGAACTACCATTTAGGAATCTTTTTTTTTTTGCATTGGCTTTCTTTTTAGAATTACACTTTTTTTGTTGTTGTTCAAGGTGTATATATTCCTGTCTGAGCCCTTATAGTGCCAAAATAAGCAAAGTCAGTTGCAGGATGCACCTTTCCCCATCTTTTCTTTTGTCAGGCTAGCTGGTCAGCTCGGGGCCTGCCTTTTTGTACTTTGTATATGTAAACCTCATCTTGAATTTAGGAAAGAATGTAGTAAGCCTCTGTTGTTTCTTATGTGTCAGTGAAAGTGTCTATATACAATTATGAGATACCAATAATGGATAAATTACAGGTGTAAATAGAGACTATAAGTAATTAAAACCAGGAAAATACTAGCTATATGGATGAAAAAAGAATAGACTGTGTGTCTAGGTAAAGATGGGTAAATGGAGTATGATATTAACTTTTGGAGAAAGGGAATTGGGAGCAATTTGGACAGATGAGGTGGACTTGCCCATAGCGAGTCTTTTCCATAGATCTGGAAAAGCAGGAAAATATTTGACACAAAACAGGAAGTGCAGAAAGAAGATAAGAACGGGACAATAATTTGCTGGTTATTATTGAGAGACAATTGCAAGTACTTAAAAAATTTATTTTGTGTGAGATGTTGAAAGATATTCTCTTAGCTTAATATGCTCTGAAAGCAAGAGACACCAATAAGCAGAATTTTATCATAGAGTTATACAATAGGCATAATATTTTTGGTTACATTAAATTTATGAGCTCACCTTTAAAAAGGAAGTGCAAAAAGCTAAATCGGTTTAGTCCCCTGCAGCTGATGCAAAGAACCAACTTACAAATCATCCAGAAAAATAACCTATTTAAAATATTCAAGATAAGAGGTAGTGAAACTATAAAAATGAAAGTCAGGTAGTTGCAAACCAGGAGCATTCTGACATAAGTAAATTGCATGATTAGAGCTGAAGTGAAGAGTGGAAAAGAGGGGTTCTGAAGGTCTTCTTCTCACTGGCCATTCTGTTAATTTTGTGTTTGTAGAAAAATGACATTGAAAGGTACTTTAAATTTATCAGTGGAGACAAAATGGTGGATCCAGGAAGGCTCTGAATTGTGAATACTGGCCAACATCCCTTCTCCTAGTTCTTGTTATTTAGTGCATTCCTGGTAACAGGACAAATTTTGCTTACTGTTTTTTGATGCTTGTATTATTTGGAGAATATCCAGTTGAGTCTTGAAATACCTCTTAATTAATTTTTATTGCCATGACAAACCTGCAAAGGCTTGCTAAATGACTGGACAAGTCAATCAGAAATAGATGGCAGAAGGGGCTGTTAAAAGAGGCCTTGAGATGACCTGCTGGTGGGCAGTTGAGAACTCTTTCTCTCACAGCTTCTGGTAAACTTTTGTTGCTCTCAGACTTCTGGGGTCTTCATGCTTTATTATGAAAACTCAAAGCTTTAGTTTCTTTGTTCATTGAAAAGAGGAATTTTCCATTAATTTTTAGGGATCACAGCACAACAGAGAAAGAATCCTCTTTAACGCGATGTTTTTCCAGGCTACGTGTGCTGTTTCCTGTTTCCTACAATTGCTCTGACATACTTCTTGTTTATCTTGTATTTCCTGTATTACCAATTAGAGGTATGTATTCTGTGTTTCGTTGGACTTTAAAATTACACAAACAGGTAATATCAGGACTTAAATGCATAGAGTTAACTTCTTTCCTCCTTTTCCAATGTAGACTTTTCTGTCTCATCCTTGAAGTGCAATTAGTAGTTTCTCTAGAAAAAAAAGAATTGAATTGTTCTTTTTGCATGGGTCTTCTAAGACAGTGGTCTGGACTTGCAAGCCCTCTGGGTCTGTGATAAGAGCGTAATGTAAAGCAGTCAGGAAGTTGTTCTAAGTTCCATGCTGGATAGAGCAATTTGGGGTATAGTGCATCCCCCAGCACCTCTTTGCTGGCTTGTTTTCTAATTTTGCAGTGGCAGCACAAAGCAGATCTTACCTTAGAGAAATGTAAATGTCACTGACATTCAGGAACATTTCTTTCACTATTGGCAGCTGTCAAAGATTAAGCGTATAGTCTGTGTATCATTTTTTATAGTCAGTTTAAATATTGTGACTGTTCGCTGTCATCAGGTGCCAGGAGTTTCTTGTTGAGGCAGTGGATTTTCCATAAAGGTTCATGAGCAGAGGAGAAACAAACAGTAGATATCCCAAAGGTGATGGAAGAATGGAAGACATAAAGATATCTGTGGTTGCAAAAAGAGAGAGAAATACTGCAATAGTAAACTTTAGATCCTGCTCTTCCTTTTTTCTTTCTTAATTATAGACAAGAGCTCAGGATGGGTTAGCACTTTATCACATTATATCTTTCTTCTCCTAATAGTATTCTTCCAGGAATTTTACTTTTCTGATCTCTTTCAGAATTGAGTAGCCTATTCCCTGCCCTTTGCAAGTGACAGACCACCCTATGCCTACAATTTTCTTCCAAAAGGCACCTAAGTGTGCTGAGCTTGAGCTGTGCCTCAAATCACAGTAAGATAGGCAGATTTGGTTTTCTAAATAATGTAAATGCTGATGTCACTTGCCTGTAAGTGTTTTGTGGTGGGTTTGTTTGTTTTAATTGGGAATATTTGTTTAAAGCCAGCAGATCACCCAAAGTTTTAGTAAATAATATTTCAAACCTATTGATTTCAACAGTTCATTTCAAACATGACATTCCATTGATGTCACAGAGAAGATGATGTGTAACAGGGTCAGTTGATAGAAAGAATGGGAGGAATGGCTGTGTTTCATTTGCAAAGTCTATTCCAGATGGAAGGCAGAAGTAAATTTTGCAAACTAAGTAGTTCAAATTGCAAGATAGGGAAGCAGTTAAGGAAAAAAGGAACTTATTTTGAGATTAAAAACCTAAACTAATGTTGTTGTCTTCTAAGGAAGGAGTTTGCTGCCATAAGTCTCCACCACTTTACAAGGATGTCTCAAAAAAGCAAGATGATAGGCCTTTGTGTAAAGAAGTTCATGTACCACATAATATGATGAATAATAGAAGAAACATGCCTCTTAAGAGCCTGTGTGCACACAGCATTAAAACAGAGTATACCTAATTAAAATTTAATACCTGTAATAAGTTAATGAAGTCCTGAGTACTAAGGATACAAGTATCAGGACAGTGCTATTAAAAGAATTAAAGCTAGGTGTACTCTAAGTTGTATGTGTATGCAGATATATAAAGTGGGGTTACACAAATACCAAGGAAAACTGAATTTTCTCTTACAGATAGGAGGAAAAAAGTACATATAGGGGTGGTAGAGAATAACCAGCAGTAGACAAGTATTTGGAAAATGTAAGTCCTGAAACAAGATTTATGCAAATGCTCATAATACCACAGAACCAGTACACCTGAACGTACTGGAGATTACAAAAGGTATACTATGGCTATTTCTTCATATTTAGTGGTATTTTTTCATCTCCACAGTTAAAAATAGGAGGGAAGAGGGAGAAAGAAAAGATTTTAGAACTAGTAAGTGTGAGCTTTTCATTAGGAGCTAGATGA